TCCTGACCTCGTGATCTGCCCGCCTCGGCCTCCGAAAGTGTTGGGATTATAGGCATAAGCCACCATGCCCGGCCTCTAGGAGGATTTCAGATGGAGTTTCTATAAATGTTCCTATGATCTTAGTACTCTTTCTGACCTGGCCTCTCCATCTCAAGAATATCATGTCACTTTCAAAGATGGTAACACAAAAAGACAACAAACCATCAATGGGCATAAGGCCCTTTGACCACTGCAGAGCAAGATATGGTGGATACCTCCTTAATCAAGTGATCAAACTTAGTATCACCAGTAAAGGACAAAGGGACATTATGTATACCTCCTGATATGATACATTGAGAAATAAATATCACCTGCATTGTGTATTGCGAGTTTTAAAATCTGAATCTAGTTATGGGAAACACTCCAGATTGTGTGACATACTATAAGAAAACTGGCTCAGACTCTCCAAAGTTAATGCCATAAAAAACAAAAAGGCAGAGAACTGTTCTAGATTAAAGGGAGACTAAAGAGAACCATGGCCGGACACAGTGGCTCACACCTGTAACCCCAGTACTTTGGGAGGCTGAGGTGGGAGTATCACTTGAGCCCACGAAGCAGAGGTTGCTGTGAGCCGAGATTGCGCCACTGTACTCCAGCCTGGCTGACACAGGGAGATCCTGCCTCAAAAATAAATAAATAAATAAAAAGGCTGGGCGCAATGACTCACACCTGTAATTCCAGCACTTTGGGAGGCCAGGGCAGGTGGATCGCCTGAGGTCGGTAGTTCGAGACCAGCCTGACCAACATGGAGAAACCCTATTTCTACTAAAAATACAAAATTAGCCAGGCGTGGTGGCACATGCCTGTAATCCCAGCTACTTGGGAGGCCGAGGCAGAAGAATCGCTTGAACCCAGGAGGCGGAAGTTGCAGTGAGCCAAGATTGCGCCATTGCACTCCAGCCTGGGCAACAAGAGCGAAACTCCGTCTCAAAAAGAAAAAAAATAAGAGGATCTGTGATTAGATCCTCAATTGGGAGAAAAAAACTATTGAAGACAAACTATTGAGACAATTGGAGACTTTGTGTTAGCCAACATTATATCCATGTTTAATGTATGCTTAAGGTGATAATGGTATTCTTGTATAGGAAGATGTCCTTGTTTTCCTAGTAAATGCTCAAGTATTTGGGAATAAAATATCATAATGTCTGCAACTTCTTTATTTTTAATTAATTAATTTTTTGAGATGGAGTTTTGCTCTGTCGCCCAGGCTACAGTGCAATGATGTGATCTCGGCTCACTGCACCTTCCACTTCCAGGACTCAAATGATTCTCCTGCCTCAGCCTCCCAAGTAGCTGGGATTACAGGCACCTGCCACCATGCCCAGCTAATTTTTGTATTTTTGGTGGAACCAGGGTTTCGCCATGTTGCCTAGGCTGGTCTTGAACTCCCGGCCTGAAGTGATCTGCCTACCTCAGCTTCCCAAAGTGCTGGGATTACAGGCATCAGCCACTGTGCCCGGCCTATATTTCTACTAATGATGTAATCTAATGAGAAGACCTATTATATATCAGATGCATAAATGCTATCTAATTATTATAGAGACTCTGCAAGGGAAGTTTATTAATTTATAGATGAGCAAACTGAAACCCAAAAGTTGACATGACCTTGGACCATGCAGCTAGTAAGTGACAGAACCAGGGTTTGAACCCATGTTTGCTTGATTCAGAAGTTTTTACAAGCCAAGTCAGTGGATTGTTTCACCTATGTCAGTATAAACTGCTGACTTTATTTCTTGAGAGAAGTCTACTGTTAAAGGGTCTAAGCTGGGAAGTACAACTTTCCCTTCTAAGTATCTCTCTTGAGCCTGTGAGAAGTTTGCCCAGTCTGAGTCTGGTAACTGAGTTACCATGTGCTCTGACTGCTCAGTACTCCAATTCTGCTAGTTGTCTGAATGTGGAAAATGAAGTATATGAGAGTTGCTGTGGCGCAGGAGAGTAGGATGTGGATGAGGCTGAGGGTCAGAGATGTGGAAAAGGTGTCCTTACTGTCTTCTTGATGCGTATACTAGGGTAATGCATGTCCATTGTGGAACATTTAGAAAACAAAAATAATCCCTTATAACCCTAGGACCCAGAGATAATGTTAACATTTTACAGCATCTCCTCCTAGACCTTTATCTATGCATACATGCAGATATAGGCATACAAAATATTTAACCAGGCTGGGCGCAGCAGCTCAAGCCTGTAATCCCAGCACTTTGGGAGGCCGAGGTGGGTGAATCACCTGAGGTCAAGAGTTTGAGACCAGCCTGGCCAACATGGTGAAACTTTGTCTCTACTAAAAATACAAAAGTTAGCCAGGCATGGTGGTGTGTGCCTGTAATCCCAGCTACTTGGGAGGCTGAGGCACGAGAATCGCTGGAACCCAGGAGGTGGAGGTTGCAGTGAGCCGAAATTGTGCCACTGCACTCCAGCCTGGGCAACAGAGTGAGACTCTGTCTTAAAAAAAAAAAAAAAAAAAAGGCCAGGCACGGTGACTTAAGCCTGTAATTCCCGCACTTTGGGAGGCCGAGGCAGGTGGATCACCTGAGGTCAGGAGTTCAAGGTCAGGAGTTCGAGACCAGCCTGGCTAACACGGTGAAACCCAGTCCCTACTAAAATTAGCCGGGTGTGGTGGTGGGCGCCTATAGTCCCAGCTGCTTGGGAGACTGAGGGAGGAGAATCGCTTGAACCCGGGAGGCAGAGGTTGCAGTGAGCTAAGATCACGCCACTGAACTCCAGCCTGGGTGACAGAGTGATACTCGGTCTCAAAAAAAAAAAAAACTAAACTTTTAATTTAACCAAATATGCTCTTTCTATACACATCTCTTATTTCATTTAATGGTATCTGTGAATACCTTTCCATAGCAAAAAATACAGTTCTTACAACATCAGCTTTATAGATTGTATAAATTATGGGTATGCTATTATTTATTTATTTATTTTTGAGACAGGGTCTCACTCTGTCACCTAGGCTGGGTGACAGAGTGGTATGATCATGGTTCACGATCATGACTCAATGTAGCCTCGGTCTCTCCAGGCACAGGTGATCCTCTCACCTCAGTCTCCTGAGTAGCTGGGACTATAGGCATGTGCTACTACACCTGGCTAATTTTTGTATTTTTTGTAGGGACAGGGTTTCACAATGTTGCCCAGGTTGGTCTCAAACTCCTGGGCTCAAGTGATCTGCCTACCTCATCCTTCCAAAGGGCTGGGATTACACTTGACATGCCATAATTTAATTAATCCTCTCTTATTGGATATTTAGCGTATTTCTAAGACCTCACATGCTTTTGACATCATCCAATTCTGCAGAGAGGGCATTCCAGTATCATGTTAGTGCTTGCTAAAAGACTTAGCAATAATGGTAGTAGAACCAGCAGACTTCTAGGCCAAAATTAACCATTAGTACTGCCCTGCTTTCCTGAAAGCAGAGAGGGAAGAAACACCCGGAAAGTATGAGGAATTATCTTGAGTTGTTACTTTTTTTTTTTCTTGAGATGGAGTCTTGCTGTCACCCAGGTTGGAGTTCAACAGTGTGATCTAGGCTCAATGCAACCTCCACCTCCCGGGTTTAAGCAATTCTCCTAACTCAGGCTCCCAAGTAGCTGGGATTACAGGCACCCGCCATCATGCCCAGCTAATTTTTGTATTTTTAGTAGAGATTGGGTTTTACCATGTTGGCCAGGCTGGTCTCGGACTCCTGACCTCAAGTGATCTGCCCGCCTTGGCCTCCCAAAGTGTTGGGATTATAGGTGAGAGCCCTGCGCCCGGCCGGTTACTGTCTTGATCAAAGTGGAGTTGGTAGTCCACAAGTATCTTCAAAGTTATTGCTGAGTGCTCAGCCCTATGCAGGTTCTAACTAAAAAAGGAGAATTTGGCCAGGCGCAGTGGCTCATGCCTGTAATCCCTTGTCCTTAGGATAATGTTTACTGAGATATCATTAATTCCCACAAAGTAAAATAATGGATGGAAGAGTATATAAATTAAATGGTTAGCCAGCTATGCCATCAAAAGCAAAAGAGAAGAAGCTTCACAAGGAATGAGGAGGTCAGAGAAAGCTTCAAGGAAGAGGCGGCACTTGAAAATGGGTAGAAAATGAATAGCATTGGAGGTAATGGAGACAGCTTGAGCAAAAGAATAGAGGCCAAGGTGAGCATGGTGTGTCTATGTTCTGATGAAGAAACTGTTAAGAAAGATTAAACTGGTGGGGTTTCCCAGAGTAGACTGGAACGGAAAAAGGCCTATTCAGAAAAGTAGACTAAGAGGGTGTTACAGTAACTTAGACAGAAGATGATGTGGTCTTTGTGTCAGTGAAATTGAGCAGGAAGAGCAGGATGGGGAGAAGATGGGGGACAAAAGAATAAAAAGCAAAAACATTTCAAAGGTAAAAAATCTCTAGGATTTGGTGACTGCTTCTGAGAGATGAAGGAAATGGGTAAGTCAGTGTTGACTTCAACTTTTTAAGACTGAATGATTTAAGAATGCTAGTATTGTTAACAGAGATAAGAAAGTTGCAAGATAAAGCTAATTTTTCTTTTTTTTGAGACGGAGTCTCATTCTACTGCCCAGGCTGGAGTGCAGTGGTGCGATCTTGGCTCACTGCAACCTCAACCTCCTGGGGTCAAGCAATTCTTGTGCTTCAGCCTCCCAAGTACCTGGGACTACAGGCATGTGCCAGCACACTCGGCTAATTTTTGTATTTTTCATAGAGACGGGGTTTTACCATGTTGCCAGGCTGATCTCAAACTGCTGAGCTCAGGCAACCTGCCTGCCTTGGCCTCCCAGAGGGCTGGAATTATAGGCATGAGCCACTGCACCTGGCCAAGATAAAGCTAATTTTGAAGGAGGAGACTTAGTTGCAGACATAATGGATCTGAGATGATGGGAAACAGAAGGCTAATGGTTTAGTAAGCAATCTGTGATCATAAAACTGAAGCTTAGGTGAGATGAAAACAGCTAGAGACTCATACACAGTTGACACTGTCGGCCTGGATGTGATGGCTGAAGTTCTGATGATTAAGGCTCTGAGAGGGTATGTAGCAGTGCTTCCCAAACCTACCTATGACTCACCTGGGGATCTTGTTAACATGCAGATTCATGTTTCTTACACTCTCCCATACGATGCTGGTGTGATTTGTCCACGGACCACACTGAATAGCAGGGATGTGGAAAGATGAGCAAGGAGCTAACATCTATGGTTTGGAGTTACCATTGGGGAGTAAAACAGAAGAGCCTACAAAGGAAAAAAAGTGTTTCCCAGAGTCATGTTTCTTGTATTCTATTTTTATTACAGGTCCTTTGGAGAATACCTATCGTGATTTCTGGCTCATGGTATGGGAGCAAAAAGTCTTGGTGATTGTCATGACCACCCGGTGAGTTAATCCCTTTTTTCCACTGGTCTCCACCTCTACTCTGTCCCCTAAGCATAGGTGATTGAAGAGGGAAGTTTAGCTTTTAGAAATAATGTGGGCCAGCCTGGTGCAGTGGCTCACGCTTGTAATCCCAGCACTTAGGGAGGCCGAGGCAGGCGGATCATGAGGTCAGGAGTTCCAGACCAGCCTGGCCAGCCTGGTGAAACCCCATCTCTATTAAAAGTACAAAAAATTAGCCAGGCATGGTGGTGTTTGCCTGTAATCTCAGCTACTCGGGAGGCTGAGGCAGGAGAATCACTTGAACCCAAGAGGCAGAGGTTGCAGCGAGCTGACATCACGCCATTGTACTCCAGCCTGGGCTACAGAGCGAGACTATGTCTCAATTTTTAAAAAAAATTTTTTTGAGGATTAGGAAAGCCATGGCAAAGATTTTGAGATATCTCTTAGCTAATCCACAATCCGGGTATCGTGGAGATGAATAGATCTAACTTGTTAAAGCTTTAATCCCTGGCTCTGGCAACCCTGTGCCAATTATACCCTATTTTGAGGTCCTGGCCTTATCCACTAAAGGAAGTTCTGGGAAACATGGGACAATTCTTTAATGTGTTCCCTATTTCCAGAGGGGTGCTCTCTTCCTGACTACCGAATTACCAGATCCCCTTTGCTCTCCATTTGTTGCTACTTTTTTTTTTTTTCTTTTGAGATGGAGTCTCACTCTGCCGCCAGGCTGGAGTACAGTGGCGTGATCTTGGCTCACTGTAACCTCCGTCTCCCAGGTTCAAGCAATTCTCCTGCCTCAGCCTCCTGAGTAGCTAGGATGTGCCACCACGCCCAGCTAATTTTTTTTTTTTTGGAGACGGTGTCTCGCTCTGTCACCCAGGCGGGAATACAATGGCTCTATCTCAGCTCACCGCAACCCCCGCCTCCCGGGTTCAAGTGATTCTCCTGAGTAGCTGAGATTATAGGCATGTGCCACCATGCCTGGCTAATTTTTGTATTTTTAGTAGAGATGGGGTTTTACCATGTTGGTCAGGCTGGTCTTGAGCTCCTGACCTCATGATCTGTCACCTCAGCCTCCCAAAGTGCTGGGATTGTAAGTGTGAGCCACTGCGCCCGGCCAGGAAGGTTTTAATGAAAGGAATATTTTTGAAAGTTTGGTCTACAAATCTGACAAATTTCAGGAATAACCTATTTCAGATGAGGAAGGAAAAAAATGAATGTTCAATTTCCTTCCTTAGCACTGTTATAACCACCTCTTATTTGGAGAGGAGGTAGTGGGAGAAGTTCTACCTTGGAATACCTTGGGGGCACTGGAGGGTGGCAAGGTAGATTTAGGCTTTTTTTTTTTTTTGAGACAGAGTCTCACTCTGTTGCGCAGGCTGGAGTTCAGTGGTGCGACCTCAGCTCACTGCAACCTCTGCCTCCCAGGTTCGAGCGATTCTTCTGCCTCAGCAGAAGAATTCCCAAGTAGCTGGGATTACAGGTGCCCACCTCCATGCCTGGCTAATTTTTGTATTTTTAGTAGAGATGGGGTTTCACCATGTTGGCCAGGCTGGTCTTGAACTCCTGACCTCAGGCGATCCGCCACCTCAGTCTCCTAAAGTGCTGGGATTACAGGCACGAGTCACTGCGCCCAGCCTAAGCCTTTTTTTTTTTTTTTTTTTTTGAGACAGAGTCTCGCTTTGTCATCTAGGCTGGAGTGCAGTGGTACCATCTCAGCTCACTGCAGTCTCAACCTCCTGGATTCAAGCAATCCTCCTGCCTCAGCCTCCTAAGTAGGTGGGACTACAGGTACCCACCACCATGCCTGGCTAGTTTTTGTATTTTTAGTAGAGACAGGGTTTCCATGTTACCTGGGCTGGGACTTTAGGCCTTTACACAAACCTCCTGCTAACATTCCAGGAGATGTGTGTTTATCAGTTATCTATTATCCAACATCTCTTATTGGGAAAGACAATAAGCAGTGGCTGAGGTATAGGCCAGAGAGTTCTCTCTGACCTATCGTATTTTCTCTACTGTTTTTTTTTCTTTTTCTTTTTCTTTTTTTTTTTTGAGATGGAGTCTCACCATGTTGCCCAGGCTGGTCTCAAACTCCTGGTCTTAGGTGATTCTCCTTTCTAAGCCTCTCAAGTAGCTGGGGTTACAGGCATGCACTACTACCCCCAGCTACTATACTGTTTTTTTCTCTGTTCACCCAGTATTTATCCCACATATATGAGAAGTACTATTGCATATTAGGAAAAAGACTAAATGCTGTAGTAAGTGCTCAGTAACTGTATGCTATATGAGTACATGCAGAAACTTTGGCTGTGAGTACATTTGTTTAGAATGAAGAGGTTTCCTTTCCTTTCTGCTGAGAATAAATGGTGTAAGTTAGAAGCAATGCAAGAGATGATATTGCTGCCTGGAGGTATATCAGGTCTTTGTGGAAGCCCGGTTACTGCTGTGGAGAGGAAGGATGGAAGGCTTACCTTGCTCTGTGTGTCTTCAGCTTTGAAGAAGGCGGCAGGAGAAAGTGTGGCCAGTACTGGCCTTTAGAAAAAGACTCTCGGATCCGATTTGGCTTCCTCACAGTGACCAATCTAGGCGTGGAGAACATGAATCATTATAAGAAAACAACACTAGAAATTCACAACACAGAGGTAAATCCAGGTTTCTTTTTTCTCACCTTATTGAAACAGGGGGAGAATACTTACTGTAATGAAAATCTCCAGAGGGAATAGATAGGATACCAGGGAGGTTATGAGTTGCTTCTGTTTTTCTAGGGACAGGATGAGGATATTTAACTCACAGCCAATATAGCCATATTACTGCAGCACAATAGGAACATTAAATAGGAGTAAAGCTTATAATTTTAGAAATCTGGGGCTGGGTAAGGCCGGGCGCGGTGGCTCAAGCCTGTAATCCCAGCACTTTGGGAGGCTGAGGCGGGCGGATCACAAAGTCAGGAGTTCAAGACCAGCCTGGCCAACGTAGCGAAACCCTGTCTCTACTAAAAAATAGAAAAAATTAGCTGGGAGGCAGAATCGCTGGAACTCACAATGCGGAGGTTGAAGTGAGCAGAGACCTCACCACTGCACTCCAGCCTGGGCGACAGTGAGAGACTGTCTCAAAAAAAAATAAAATAAAGAAAGAAATCTGGGGCTGGATGCAATGGCTTACGTCTATAATTCCAGCACTCTGGGAGGCAGAGGTGGAAGGATCACTTGAGCCCAGCAGTTCAAGACAATCTAGGCAACACAGTGAGATCTCGTCTCTACAAAACATAGAAAAAATTAGCTGATCATGGTGGCACACGCCTGTGAGGTCAAGGCAGCAGTAAGTTTGATCATGCCACCGTACTCCAGCCTGGGCGACAGAGTGAGATCCTGTCTCAAAAAAAAATTCTGGATCTTACAGTATAGGAATTCTGCCTTTTCCAAACAATTAACCAACCCTTCCTTTGGGTTTATAGTAAAGAAGCAGTTACGGGAAAAGTTGACAGTGGTGGATAGGAGCCTTGGTGGTAGGGATAACCAGGGTGTTGAGAATCTGGAAAAGCCAGTGGTAGCTAGGGGCAGGCAGAAATAACCTCGTTAACGTTTACTTCTTTTCTCATCTAAGGAACGGCAGAAACGCCAGGTGACCCACTTCCAGTTCTTGAGCTGGCCAGACTATGGTGTCCCTTCCTCAGCAGCTTCCCTCATTGACTTCTTGAGAGTGGTCAGAAACCAGCAGAGCCTGGCTGTGAGCAACATGGGAGCACGCTCCAAAGGGCAGTGCTCTGAGCCACCCATTGTGGTCCATTGCAGTGCAGGCATTGGCAGGACAGGTAATGCACCTAATGCAGCTCTTGGTGTCTGCAGAGGCAGTAGGGGTGGAGGAGGAAAAACAAAGCTCTTAGCCCACATCTGTGATTGGAGAAGGAACTCACTTGCTCCCTTGGTGGTGAATTGCTGTGAAAAATCCCTCTTCTAATGTCCTTTTGGTGGACCAAGTGATGGCCAGAATATATATTTCACAAGCCAAGTCCTCTAGGGGTTGATGTTTTATATACCCCATCATAACGCTGATCCTGTCACCTGTTAGCACTGTCGCTGCAGGTATCCCAGGGAGCTCAGCTGGTCTGCTGCTTCCTTCCCATATAGCCCTCCCTGGAGGGACTCCCCACCCTGTGCTGTGTTCTCCATTCTGGAGCCAGTTAGCAGCTTTTGTCTTAAGGGCATGTACATGGTAGAAAATGTTGGCCTTTCTAGTTCAAAGGTCCTTTGGGAGAAAGTTGGGAATAGGTTTGTGTTAGGCCTCTGAAAAACTTGTGGACTCTGGAAATTAGGTGTGGGAGTGCTGTCAGTCTGTCTGTCTGGGATTGAAGCAGGAAGTTCCCTTATGTCACCTTCCCGTTTCCACTTCCTGTTACCCCAGTGTATGTCCTGAGAGGTAAGAGGCCTTCTCATTTCTCTGGCCTCCAACACTCCCTGTGACCTCCTCCTCGAGTCCTTTCAGGCCTAAGGCCACCTGGCCTTCTGCCAAGAGGTGCTTTGCCTTTGAATTCATTCATTCAGTTCTCCCTGGGTTATTTGGTAGAGGGAGGAGGAGAGGAGAGGTAAACCAGATGTGATCACTTCCTTCCTTCTTCAGGTACCTTCTGCTCACTGGACATCTGCCTGGCACAGCTGGAGGAGCTTGGCACCCTTAATGTGTTCCAGACGGTGTCACGCATGAGGACCCAGAGGGCCTTCAGCATCCAGACCCCTGAGCAGTACTATTTTTGCTACAAGGCCATCCTGGAGTTCGCAGAGAAGGAGGGCATGGTATCCTCTGGCCAAAACCTGCTGGCTGTGGAGGGTCAGTAACTCTCCCACGAACCTCCTACCTGCTGGCCAGCCTTCCTTAAACTACCCTGGACACCGCTGAGCCTATAGGTTGCCATCAGTTACGCTGAAGCCATGGATCAACTTCTTTCTTCTGTCTCCCGGCACACGTGTGCACACAAGGCAGCCTTTCCCTTTGGCTAGATAAATGTGGTGAAATTGCCACTAGAAAGGGCCAGCAGCAATGTGTTCTTAATTCCTAGCACCTGCTATCAAACTGTGCCTTATTAAAACCAAATTGTGGCTATTGATTTTTGCCAGGGTCCCCGAGGTAAGTGGGGAAGGAACCTCCCTCCTCCTTTCTCCCACCATTCTCTTTCTGGAGGTCTCCTGTCTCCCACTCCTTCCCTTTGCTAGGATTTTATGGGGAGGTTTGATGAGCATTTGCCTTTCTCCCCAGAGAGCTTGACCAAGTTACATATTCTAGAGATCGTCCTGAGTGCCAAGCACGTTTATAAGTAGGGCGTGTATTCGAGTCCTGTCATTCTGTGTGTGTGCGTGTGTGTACTTATGTGTATGGGTCCATATGTACGTGTGTATATAATATATATTGTATGTGATAATATGATCGTATTCTATAAATACATATACACACAGATATTCCTTTGTAGAAGTTCCTGGGGCTCTGTGTTGCAGTTCAGGACTCCTTCCTTCTTGGACCCTGCTATTTATCCTGGACTAGCTTGGGTTGGTGATCATGTCTCCTGTTGTCAGGCTACAGAGTGGTGGAAGAGGACACACACACTTCTCCATGTTCCTGCCACAGGGCCCCTTCCTTAAGTAATGACTTATCTCCCTCCTATTGGAGCCACGAATGTATTAGTTTGTGGTGAAACTGGGTTAGCTCAGCATGGATTTCCCTTATCTGATGATTTTTCTGCATTTACTTGGCCAATTTGGGGAACAGACCTCCACTGTGATTCCATACTCTCTCTTTGCTTTCACTATCCCATGGATGGGAGGCGGAGGGTAGAGATGAACTCACTGAGCAGCCAGAGCCACATGCAATCGGTACGAAGTCTTAGAAGGAAGGAGGCGTAGCCCAGGTATGAGAGAGAAAAAACTACTAAGAAAATGCCTCCCTGGGAGGATGGGCTGGGGCCCTTTTTCTTTTGCTGGATGGTTCCTTTATGAAGCTTGGCCGTCTACTGAGATGCCCATCTCTTCCTGCCTGCTAGCCTGCTAGACCCTCAAACTGGGTGGGTTCTGTGTCAATAAAAAGCTTTACCCTCTGGCTGAGTGAGGTGGTCCCCTGCAATCACTGTTTGTCCCCTACCCACCCAGCCTGTCCCTGCCTGCTCCCAGCCCACTCATCCTTATGTGCTAGGGATAAATCAAGAGTCCTTAGCACTCCACATTCCCAAGAAAATCCCAGGAACTCCTAAACCTTCCCCTGTCACAGAAGATGAGGTTGGCAGCTGATGAGACCTCAATAATTTTATATTGTAATAAGCTCTTTGAATGTGTATATTCTTATTTTTTACAATCATTTCATTTTTGTATTTAATATCAATGGACTGAGGCAGATTCAGAAAATAATTGTAATGTTCATATTCAATATCTTACAGTGATACAGTTTTGTATTTACATATAAATATACCGACATGATCAAAACCCTTTTAGCTTCATCAATTTAGCAGCCTGGGACATGAGGGAGGGGGTCCAGGAGCTGGTCTGGGAGGGATGAGGGAGGCAGGGAGGGACCCAAGGCTTCAGTATCTGAGACTTAGAGTTCTGACACTATGAGTTCACCTTGTCTGTAAGCCATGGCCCTATATCTGGACAGAGGGACCAGCGCCAGTTCAGTGCTTGAGATGTGCTAAGTGCTATGCTAGGTGCTTTTTTCCTCGTTGCTTCATTCAAACCTCACAACAATTCAGTGAGATATTATCTTCTTTCCCTTCTCCTGTGCACCCCTTTCTCATTTCTATATAGATGAGGAAAGTGAGGTCCAGAGGGTTACAGTGATTTGCTCTAAAACGAGCTCAAGTTGGTCTGCTTACAAAGCCTGTGGTCTCCTCACTGCATGGAAGATGGAGATCTTGTCTTTGGAGAACAGAGGTTTGTTTAGCTGTCCTTTCAGAGTATAAATAGTTCTTAAGTTCCAGGTTGTTGTTCTTGTGCCCATGCTTCTGTAGTAGACTCGAAGCGCGACAGGGTTGGTGACTGACTCTCCTAGCTAGGACCTCCTGATGTAGGGTCCTCATGTCTGCAGAGTACCAAAAGGGTTGTCATTCTCCCCAGGAAACTCCCTGTCTATGGATACATGGTGTTTGTGAGAAAATTTTGAGTCATTTGCATTTCTCTCTTAGAAAGAATGGAACCAGAAGCTTTGTCCATGGAAGACCACTCCCCATATCACACCTGTTGGCTGGTGATGGCTTGCCCAGTTGGGGCAATTGTGGCTGGGAAATATTGAGGTGTTCTTAATAATAGTCATAGCAACCAATTTACTGGATGCTTACTCTATTCCAGGCACTGTTTAGAGTAATTTCTAGGTATCATTTCATTCACCCTCCACAACCTTTTGAGGTAGGTATTGACAGAAGAAAAAAATTGAGAGACAGGAATGTTAATTTGCTACAGCCAGGATCCAGACCATCTGACTCCAAAGTACCTTCTTTCAACTCTTACACTAGACTTCCTCTAAGGATCCATCTTCTGATCTGTCAATAAATTTTTATTGAGTTTCTTACTATAATCAGGAGCTCAAGTGTAGAGCAGAAGATTAATCTAGTTCCTTCTCCAGATAAGCCTCCATTCTCTTGGGAGTGCACAAACATAAGAAGTGAACAGAGATTCTTGGAAATTTGAGAAACCAGAGAGGTTAGGGGTTTAGTGGAACGTGTAAGAAATGGGATTAATGATAAAAGGCCTGGAGGAGGTAACTTTAAATTGTCATATATTTGAAGAGGCTGTAACCCAACTGCCCTGTGAATTTAAAGTTATGCTTGAATTCCTCATTGCATATCTGAAGATTGGTGAGGTTATCCATCACTTGAGCTCCATAAAATGCTGATTCCTGGGTCCATCCAGTAGGTTGTTAGTGAGTGACAGGATGATCCAGGTTTGGGAACCACAGATTTAGTTCATGTTTCTGACTCTGTAGAGAGTTAACGAATTGATGTCTCCTAAATTTTCAATAAAACTCGAGGAACTCCTCCCACTGCCATTGTCTGTAGCTTTTACCAGTTTGATCCTACCTGTGTTAGGTGTTAAAGGAGGAGGGAAAGGGAAGGCAGCGACGCAACCCAGAATCTGTTTGGCAAGTTGGGGTTCTCATACAGGAGACTTACTGAACAAAGCAAGAGAAAATGTTCAGGGTCTGGGTGCGGTGGCTTACGCCTGTAATCCCAGTACTTTGGGAGGCCGAGGTGGGCAGATCACCTGAGGTCAGGAGTTCGAGACCAGCCTGACCAATATGGTGAAACCCCGTCTCTACTAAAAATACAAAAATTACCTGGGTACGGTGGCTTGTGCCTGTAATCCCAGCTACTTGGGAGGCTGAAACAGGAGAATCGTTTGAATCTGAGAGGCAGAGGTTGCAGTGAGCTGAGATCGTGCCATTGCACTCTAGCCTGGGCAACAAGAGTGAAACTCCGTCTCAAAAAAAGTAAATAAATAAAAAAGAAAGACAATGTTCAGGAAAGAAGAAAACACTGTGAGCTAAAGCAGGTTTCTGCTTCTGATTTGATTGCTGTTTTTTTCACCTTTCTCTAACATTCCTATGCTATATAATTTTTCAAACATGAGAGAATCCCCATGTCCTTTTTCCCATTGCTCCCTTCATCTTGCCCATCCTTGTTGGCTAGGATGGGACTTCTGAGGTGAAGGGTGCGCCAGCATCCTCAGCCTAGGAGGCCCACCCTTGTCAGTCTTCATGTGACAGTATGCAGGTAAATGACAGAGTAGGACTTGTTCTTGGGAGAATGGACTATTTAGCATCACAGCCCTAGGGAAATTTGGTTCCTTCCCTGAAAGGGATGCTTCTTGTCTATTGGGACAGACAGACACACATACAAAAACTTTTATAAATCAGAGACCTAAAGGGAATTGGGCCAAGAGGCACTGGCCAAGTAGAAAGGCTTCTCTAGAGTGACCCAGCTCTTTGGTGGTTTTGAGGTCTTACCACTCAACCCAACCCAAGTCCTAGGTTCCCTCTGTAAAAGAAGGGCCTACACCAGATGATCCTACCATGGGTCCTCTGACTGTAAGGGTCCAGTGCTTTGTTGGACAGTGCAAACACCCATAGAGGATCTATTAGGCCCTTACTTGGGTTGAGTCAGCTCCCACTGGCACGCCCCACTTTTTTTTTTTTTTTCCAGAGACAGAGTCTCGCTCTGTTGCCTAGGTTAGAGTGTAGTGGCATGATCATGGCTCACTGCAGTCTGAACATCTGGGCTCGAGCAGGAACTCTGCTTTTTTTTTCTCTCTCTCTCTAGAGACAGGATCTCACTGTTGCCCAGGCTGGTCTCAAACTCCCAGCCTCAAGCGATCCTCCTGCCTCAGCCTCCCAAAATGAGAGGATTACAGGCATGGGCCACCATACCCAGCCTCCCCAGTTTTAGTGTGTTTTCAGAGTCTCTTCTTTCAAGCTGCTGCTACTCCCCTAGCTTCCCTCAGTTCTTTTCCCCCTTGGCCTTCTAATTGGAGGAAAAGCAGGTCAGGTCCCTGTCATCTCCAAGACCAGCCTATAGGCCTTTAAAGTTTCCCTGTTTCTTAATGTGGGGTCTACAGGGTGACTCAGAGGCAAAGCATGAACTGACCAAGGGTCCCAGAGCTGCCAACCGAGTCCTTAGATTTCTCTCTGGCCTTGGTTACTACCCACAAACCACTGTGAGCCTACCAAGGGCAGGAGTGGAAGTGCCCATCAGCCTGGGAACCATCTTTTTCTGTTAGGAGGTATCTGCCCTGTAGTTCCCTTTATACGACACTTGTGAATATCAAGTGTTTTGGACTGTACTGCTTATAACTGGCTACAGAGAAGACTGGGGTCTTCTCCACAAATAGAAATCTAGCACTTTTACTTGGAGATGTTTTCTTGGGGAAAAAAAAATCTAGAACTTTGAAACTTGGTACAATGTTTAAATCTCCCTTCTTCACCTTGGTTGTCATAAAATCCTCCTGTTTTGAGCTAAATGTGGCCTGCTGAAGTCTTAAATACCCATATTTTTCAGGCTAAGGCCATGGTGGACATAGCTAACTCCACTAGAATCCTGGGTGGGGGTGTTGGATGGAGATACTATGGTGCTTTCGGCAATTGAGGGGAGTATGTTGCAGGCTCACATCTGTCTCCCCTCCCCGCACATTATAATCTGGCTCCTTCTCTAATGCTGCTGTTTGTCTTAAAGCCTCAAGACTGGCCAGATGTGCACCTGAGTAAGTCGGCCATTTTATCTGGGGGCTCTTTCTTGACTTTTAATGAATTTTTAATAAAAAAAATTTTCTCTGGCCAGCATCCAGTGGAAGTCTGGAGTCGGATGTTCAGGGCAGATACTGGTCTGGAGATGTCAATTTAGGACTTAGTTAGACAGAAGCAATGAGCCTTGAAGTGAGAATGAGGAAGGCAAGAGAGGAGATATGTTTGGATGTCACCAACATTTAGGTAATGGGTGGAGGAAGAAAAGCTGCTGAAGGATACTAATGAACAGGCAGAGGTAACTGAGCACAAAGCCAGGCTGCTCTGTCACAGGCTGCTGAGAGGTAGGTAGTGGCTGGGACGAATGAACAAGATCTGAAATGTGGGTTCATTAGAAGTCTTCGAAGGGACTATGTGGCTGTCAGGGAGGCTGCATGAGAGAGATGTGAAGGAATTGACTGCAGTGCTCAGGCTGTCCTCACTTAAACCAAAACAAGGCCCACCTTGATCTCTTATACATTAGGCTTCTGAATAAGATTTTCTTTGAACAAAGGACCTTGCTGGCTGGGTGCAGTGGCTCAGGCCTGTAATCCCAGCGATTTGGGAGACTGAAGTGGGAGGATCACTTGAGGCCGGGAGTTTCAGACCAACCTGAGCAACATGGCAAAACTGCGTCTCTAAAAAAATAAATAAAAATAAAAAATTATCATATGGCAAGCTATTCTATTTTTAAAAAGCAGTAACAAAGGAACTTGTTGCTTTAAAAAAAAAAAAAAAAAGCCAGGCCAGGTGCAGTGGCTCACGCCTGTAATCCCAGCACCTTGGGAGGCCAAG